TTTTTAACACCCGAAGAAGGCTCCACTGCTGAAACATTGTGTTTCCTTTCTTCTCTTTTCAGCATAGAATAAACCTTTAACTTGTTCCTTTGCAGCCTTTGCATGATGATGCACCTACCGACTTGAACTAAACGTAGAGAAATATTTATTTGACTCACCAAAAGTGTAGAATAAAATAATCCAGGTGATTGAAATGACCGACACCATGGCTGATGTCTTTTTCTAATTTGAAAAGATGTCCGAGTGGTGATGAGTCCAGATTCAATGCTGTCTGACTCTCTTGATGCAAACCACGCAGGCTTGTGGGCTAAATAATTTGCATGTAAGTCACCCTTATGATTAATGATGTCAGTTAACTGTGTATTATGTGAATCTGCATGTTATTAGTCCACTCTGCCTCAGTGCATCTTCCTGCTCTATGGTGGCAGAGTGAGCTGTTCTTATATATACAGTATACAGGAGCTCCACTATATATCAATAAACACAGTGCAGTCCTATATGTAAAAAAAAAACACCTAACAGCACATAACAACAGAACAACAATCTTTCTCTGACATCTAGGGGCGAATGTAAAGAATAACTCAAGATCACAGTGCCTGTCTGCTTGAAGAAAATATGTTTACTTCTTTCACTGGCTTGGCAATGTATTCCATTGATTGAGCCAGACCGTAAATTGTCAGTTTAACAATTTAAAGACATTTCTGTATGTTGAAAAGGAGTTTTAGGAGCCTGGTGAAACTTTCTTTAGTTGCTGAATTTCTAAAGGTAGAGGATATTGATTTGTAGAAACAGACACGGAGTGTAAAAGGACTGTTTCACTTAAACAATCAGAGTGACAGGAAAGGCACTGAGAGGCACTGAGAGGCACTGCGGTGTCTTCAAGGCAAAGAGAAGAAGTACAGCCATCTGGGAAAGTGGTCCACCAAGTTATTTTACCTGCTGCTGCAAGAAACACCTGTAGGGGGAGACAGAGATACAGAAATATGTTTTTATCTGTGTCAGAGGCCCAGCATTGAATCTCAATAATCCCTGTAGTCTGGCATTAAGAAATGAAAGAGCTAACCTGAGGACACAGTTAAAAAGCACAGGACATGAAACATCTAACTCTAAACTAAAAAGGGTTAAACATCTTGTCAATATGACCAAATAAAAATAAAGCATACATGCAAAAATAAATGATAAATATATGATAAAATGTTTTTTTTTAATCACTGGCCTTTTTGTGTGGAAGTAGGGCTTCTACTGTAGTTGTATACCTCTGGTTATTAGGACCACCAGTGTTCATGTTTAACATTGTGATGAGTCTTGATATTTCAGAAAGATCTGATAATTGTTTATCTATTCATCCATTTTCTAACCACTTTATCCAGGCTAAATGTTAATCTGTGTCTCTTTTATTTATCTGTGTGGTAATTCAATAGGGAGCAGGGTTTGCACAATCTGCCCTCTCCTTATTTCATTTTAGCTCAGCTGAAGAGTTGCCCTCATATGTATAAGGCTCTTTGCAATCCTTTGGGATGAAAAAATATGAATACAGCTATGATTATTTAATTTGGACATGTAGAACTCTCTTTTTTGAAGGGGCTTAATAATGTTTTTAAGTAAAGCCCAACTCTGAATTTGAAAG